AATCCAGAGAACCATTTTGAAATATGAGGGTTTTTCTATCTAGAAAATAATTTAGACAACCTCATATACACGGTTTTACATTATTGTGATACGCTATTGTGCATTTTGTTGATACGCGGTTTTGTAATATAAACGACGATTTATATATGTATATTGGATGTTTTTTCACTTACTACTGGTTGCCTCTGCATGGCAGTGTTCATATCGCTATGTTGTATTAGATGTTGAACTAGATCGCTTGATGATGACATATCCATGGAACACACTGTACAATAGTAAGTGTTTCGCTTCACGTCCAAACCAGAGTGATGTGATCGTATGTGCTCGCGCAGTACAACACGTTGGTTGAAGGCACGAGAACACACCGAACACGCGTAAGGCTTTTCGCCCGTATGGATGCGTTCATGTTTGCGTAGGGTTCCGCCATCAGCAAAGGCCTTCCAACAGAAGCGGCATCCATATGGCCTTTCACCAGTGTGTATACGCACATGTATCTGTTGTGAACTACGCGAACCAAACGTTTTTCCACATTCATGGCATGGGAACATTTTTCCTGAGGAATTGGTGTGCGAGTGGCGATGATTAGAAAGCGTTCGACCATCAGGAAACTCTTCGTGACAGACATCGCACGTGACAGACTTATCGCGATGAGATGCCATATGCCGTTTCAGACGTGCTTTATTATGAAAGTTCTTGCCACATTTCGAACATGAATGGCACTTTTCGCGCGAATGATCCCAGGCATGTTTTATTAAAGCTTTACGATCGCGGCATTGTTTGCCACAAAGAATACACGAGTTGGGCGTCATGTCATGCGGATGTACTGTCTGCAGATGGCGTTTTATAGACAGCTCATCAAAAAACGTTTCGCCACAAAGAACACATCTATTAATGAAGAAATAAATACATATGAATATGTATATACATAATAATATAGAAAGGCCCTAACTCATATAGTCATAAAGCCGTAACTAACTGATATTTTTTATTGTTTAAAAGACTTAGAATTCGTTGAAATGCATCATAATCAATTAAAAGGGAATTTTAAATTTTTACTTAGTTACGGCTTTTTGTATTTCAGAGACTGTATAAGTTTGGCCTTTCTATATTAAGGTATTTGATTTGAAGCAAATAACTAATAACATACTTAAATGGTGGATACCGCGCATGAATTTCCGCATGTGCCAACAGGTCTAATGCTTCGGCAAAAGTTTCACCGCAAGTGTTGCAACAGTGCCGATCCTTTTCATTCTCTGGGTCAACTTCAACACTGCTTTTTGTATGCGTTTTAGAGTGACGCCGTAGCAAATCTTCACGGTGAAACGACATGCCGCATTCGCTACAGTAGAACTCTCCGAACAAGCGCTCTGATTCAGATTCAGTTTGTGTTTCTTCCGCCTCCGCTTCATCAGGATCATACTCTGAATTGCTATCCTCAAAATGATGCGTTTTAAAATGCTCCTGCAAGCTGTTTGCATCCCAGAACATTTCGTTGCATTGGTTGCACTCATGTGGCTGGTCATCACGATGGTTCTAAGTTTGTTTCAGATTTTGGGTTTTGAAAAAATTAAGTACAATTAAATATCCGTAATCAATATGCAAAACGTTATATCGGAGCGTTGAATACGGTCTGTTTTTTCGGACTAACCTTTGTGTGTGCTAATAACGCCTTCTCCCGCCCAAACGCCAAGCCGCACTGTTGATGCAAACTTGCTTTACATTCATACCTATCCTTAAAGATTCTTCTGAACAAATTGATATACACAACATTGATTCACCCATATTCTCCAACGGTTATTCCCATATTTTCGCATAGACTTGATAAACTACACTGACCTCAACTTGAACAAACGATAAAGTTATTTCAAAAATATTTTCACGCTGCACAAATCACCTCTTTGTTCTTCCGCTTTGATGCAAAAGAATGCGGTCAACTCCAAATGCCGCTGCCGCAAGAATTAGGAGCGATGACGACTTTCGCACAATGCACTATCTTCCTATTCGGATTGTGTGTACATATCTATGTATGTCTGTTCATGTACATGTTGATGGTTTGCACGCTTTCCACTGTCGTTGCAACTTGCAAGTACATACATACGTTATGTGTATGTAAATATGTATGTATGTATGTAAGTAAGCATGTAGCAGATCTGCAACATCTTTGCGCAATTTTTATATCTGCTCAACCAAAGGAAGAAGAGCATACCAAAGCTTTTGCATACATATCTCACTCACGACCAGCACGGCCGTTTAGCCGAGTGAGTACATAAATGGTATACTCGTTGAAAAGGCGCGCGCGCGATGAGAGTACGCCATTGCCAGCGCCATATTGAGATAGCGATCGCGAATTGCTGCAGCGGACATGGCAAATAGTATTCAACGAGCAACGTGAGTGGCGCGGGCCGGCCACGAAAAAACAGAGGCCAATTTGAATCGACGAAAAAAAAGAGTGTCGCAAACAAACCAAATTCAAATATAAAACGAAATTAAGGCAACAAAAACAAAAGCAGCGGGCGTAAAAGGGGTGGCAAAAAAAATCATTTTGTTTATGTAGGGTACGGATTGAGTTGCGGCATGAAAAGTGATGTGGGTGATGGAAAGGTGTTTCGGGAGCTACATAAATACATAAATAAATATGTATGTACGAGTATGTGTGCATGTGTGTTGTAGTTGGCTAGCCCGCTGATGAGCGCCCCACAAAAACATTCTCGCAGCGCGCGCTCTACAACTTGCTTTCGCCTACGTTCGCTCCTAAGTGGCGCTGAGCTATTTTCATTTTTATTTTGGAGACGAGTAAACAGTTCAGCGTGGAACGGTTTTGTGCTTGTGGCGGGCGTGATTGAATTTTGATTTACTGAAATTGATTCCAAGTATTACGAGTGCAGCGAAAATTATTTCGGACGTTTTCGGAATAACTAAAAACGAAAAAAGTTATCACAAAAGCTAGTACAAAGTGCAGAAAAGAACTTTCGCAGGCAAAAAGGAAGCTTTTTTTTTTAATTGAAGATTTAAGTATGTGGAACTACATTTGTGGTATCATTGGGAATGACAAAATCTAAAACAAAATAAAAGAACTAAATGCGAGTGACACTTAAGTGAAAAGTGGAAAGAAGCATTGAACAGCAAAACATACTTAAAAACACATATTCTTGCAGCAGAGACAGCGCACGTCGAATTTATGAGTAAACATATGACTAGGTGCGTACGAATTTTAAGACAAAAAAAAAAAATAAATAAAAAATACAAAAGAAAAATTTGTGGCTATTTTTCCTGTAAAAAATGAATAATAAAATATTTAAAACAAAATAATTTTTTAATTCTACTTAAAATAATAGAAAAAATTTCGGTTAAAGATCCCTTTCGAAATTGTAGGCATATTGACTAAAGGTAGGAATTCTATCCCGTTTTATTTTTGACTGAATCCGATAATTTGGATATGAACAAATATTAACCGGATATGAGGGTTTTCGAATTTAAAAATCAACAATAAAATACCAAGTGTTTGTGTATTAATGAAGTGTTCTTGTATTTATTTCGAAACTCGTTAGATTCACAAGAGAAAAAAATAATTAATTGAACTTTCCCAAGGAGCTTTCGCAATTTGGTACAATGTTGCTGTTTTTGTGCTTATCCTACCAAATTTAATAGTTTTTTTTTTTCTCATTGGTTTAAAAAGTTATACATAGTAAAAAATATTTTTTCAACAAGTTTACTAAATATGAACCAAATCGGTCCATGCATACGAGTTTCCCCAACATGTCGACTCCTGCGCCACCTATCGGCAATTTTTATTTTTTTTATGTGAATCGAATCGACTATAAGTACCTACGAGTTTTCCAAATCGCTTGACCCTTGCGCCACCTAGCGGATCAATTCATCATTCGTATTGCATTTTCATCGTGCTGTGAACTAACTTTGAAGTTTCAAGTCCCCAGGACATACATACATTCATACAAGTGTCCACCCGGAAAATAGATAAGTATCTTACGAGGTAATCCATCTTTTCTTTCAGTTTTTAATTCCAAAATTGTCATCATGGCCAATGTAATCTACTAGTAAAGCACAAAATGAACACCTCCGATGACGGCCGACGTTGTAAGTTGCAAAATAACGGACCGCTGAAGTTATTTCCGAGCGCAAAACTACTACAATTTGGTGGCACGGTATTTTGCAACTTACAACGCAGGCCGTCGTAAGAGGTGTTCATTCTGTACTTTACTATTAGATGATATTGGTCATGATGACAATTTTGGTATTAAAAGCTGAAAGAAAACATGGACTACCTCGTTAGATGCTTACCTATTTTGCTATTAGGTGCAGTTAAATAAAAGGTTGTAAAAATGACTTTCGATAGATGCACAGGGCAATTCTAGCAAAAGTCTTTCATACGACATGTATCAATTTTGGCAACTTTCTTAAAACCTCTTTTCTGACTTTCGAAAGTCGAATTAAAAGATCCGCTAACGAGGAGCTCTTAACGTTATTATGCTTGTCTTTCAGCAATAAGTTTTCTAAATGTAGCAAAAAAATAAAGACTTTAACATGGTGGAACAGTTAAGTTTACGTAAAATAAATTATTTATATACATATGTATGTACATAAGGGCGCGTACGCAGTTCTCAAGAAAAATCACAAGAAATATTTTCTATTATTTCTGTTGCTAGGAAAAGTATTTGGTGATTGCTGTAAATATTCTTGAAGAAATACATATAGGCACGGGCATTTTTTCTTAAGAGCCGCATACTGATTTAAGAAACTTTGATAGAAGAAAATTTCTTTTCCATTTCGTGTGCATTATTTTATATGAATTTTTAGTTTTCCTTGAGAGCTGCAGAGAGGCCTTAAAAATTAAAAAAGAAAACACTTAAAATAATAAAATCGTTAAGTTAAGAGAACTTTAAATTCAAAAAATTTATTACAATTAAAAAACAATTACTTTTTAAGCAAAAAATAAAACCGACTACAATTCTCATACATATACAAGTTCTGGAACGGGTAATTTCTTCACCCTTGAGGTACCACCTTTCCGATAAAAAAAAAATTATCGAAAACTGTTCCCGTGGTCCAAACAGATAACATACATAAAATATTCCGAAGAAATAATAATCTTCATCCTTTTTTTAATTAGGTTAAAAAAGAAAAAATAATAACTAAACAAAAAAAATCCGCTGCCCGGAGTTTTGAACCTCGAACCTCTCGAATGGTATGCCAGTACTTTGCTCACTCGGCCATTGCGACTGTTGGAGCAGCGCGGGCAAAATGTTTCCTCTCCGTGCTAAAGTGATTTCTGTCAAAAGAGCTTTTCCCCATGAAAATTGGAAAGCGAGCTTTTTTAGTAAGACTTTCTTGGCAAAATAAACAAAATCTTTCAAACTATCGTTCCTACTCGAAGACCGAATTACTATTATTCACTACAAGAAAAAAGATTCCTAATTATACCCGAGCGCACTTGTGCACAAGGGTATATTAATTTTGTTCACATAACGGTTGTTTGTAACAGCCAAAACGAATCGAGATAGATATAGACAAATGTATACATAAATGATCAG